GTGTGTGTGGAGGAGGTGGTTGTGTGTGAGTGGGTGGAGTGGGTTTGAAAACCATTGATTACATCTCCATATTCTCTCACAGAGCTGACACCCGACATTTCCAAACTATAACCATCATCACTTAGAAAAATACTAAACCATCTGTTCTCCTTCATCTTCATCTCCTCTTCTCTCCTCTTCTCTTCCTCCTTCTGATAAAAGGAGACAAGGGTTTTTTATTCGCTCGTTGTAACGTTGATAATAAAATCACGGCACATTCTACGATTAATTCACCGTTTGTCTCCTAATGCTGACGAATACGTTTTACAGATTTTTGTCTTCTCTCTGTTTAATCAAGGAGAGAAAAAATGGTTTGTGTCTTATCTATGGAGAATAAATGAAATAGAAAAACAGCTGATGAATTTAAAATCAGATCTGACTTTGTGTCGATTCAGTCGTTCGGAACAAACATGTCGTCTCTGTTCCCCCTGAAGCTGCTGCCAAAACATTCAACCACAGTTTGGACACAGAGCAGAAACCCAGCAAACACAAACCACTGATGGATGACATTAATGCACTCGTACATGCATGACTGTGTGTGTGTAAATAACCGGCAGTGTGTGTGTCTGTCCGTGTGTGTGTGTGTTTCAGGGTTCATCTGGGCAGAGATCAAGGAGATGTGGGACGGTGGATTCACAGAGTACATCCACGACTGGTGGAACCTGATGGACTTTGCCATGAACTCTCTGTACCTGGCCACGATATCACTGAAGATAGTGGCCTACGTCAAGGTAAAGACCACACGTCTCACGGACAACACCCGTGAGGACACATCCCTCCGTTTCCCAGAGGCTCTTTGCGGTGGTCCAACTCTTGAGATTCCTCAGTTCCTCAGTTTCGCCCATGAAGGGTTTTACTTCCCTCCGTCACACATCTGTGCGTCGGTATCATCAACATTATTCAGAATTAAGGACGTCTGTCACATCAGCGGAGAGCTGAGCACCGACATTCAAAGTTATTAGTTATAATTAAAGAATTGTTGTTTGTGTCGTCTTCAAACATCAGTTACACTTTGATGCTCATTTTCTCTTTTTGACAGAAGCAGCTTTCAACTGGAATAACACTCGAGAACACTGAGAATATCCACATCCAGATTTATCTGTTTATCAAGAACAAATCACACACACACTCACACACACACTCACACACACACTCACACACACACACACACCAGACGGCTGGGCCATCTGCGGCAGCTGTGAGTCACTGACGGTGGCGGGTGGTCCTCCTACACAGGTCACATACACATACATACATATTTATACACGTACACACACGTACACACATATGAAACATGCATGTGTTCTATATTATATTTTTTGTCTTTTCTTTTCCTTTTATATTTAGAAAACCTGAACGTCTATCCCAAAATTTGGCGCTGTCGTGTGTGTGTGTGTGTGTGTGTGTGTGTGAGAGAGAGAGAGAGAGAGTGAGAGTCTGACTGACAGAGCGACTGCATCTGAGAGAAGGTGCAAGAGTATAAATTAATGAGTGTGCATCTGTGTGCATGTTCCTGTTTCTGACTGTGTGTGTGTGTGTGTGTGTGTGTGTGATGCTAATAGAGGCCGACTTAACAAGACAGAAGTCCTGTGGAAGTCTAACGGCTGAATTTAGAATGAGGCGGACGCCTGGAGACGTGCGGGAAGATGGTGGGAACGGGATGGAGGGAGAGAGAATCTAGTGAGGCCAGCTGTGGGCCGATGGGTGGATTAAATGAGAGCTGGAGAGACAGTTAAAGTCAGACAGTCGGAGAGATTGACAGAGAAAACAAATGACAGATCTCTTCCGATCTGTGTGCTCAGCCATGCTTTGCTAATCGTGTCCTCGACCAGTCGCTGCGCTGAGCGCTCGAAGATAACGCTGGTATCAGTGATCTCATCTGGTTCCTGCTGAGGAACAAAACAAGCAGACTTCTCCAGAACGTCACAGAGATCGTGTTGTGATTCAGTCACTCAGCTCTTGTGTGTTTGTTATTGACAGAAGATGTTGACAACACAAAAGCCCACGACGATAAGTAATAAAATCTCTCTTTCTTACTTTCTCTTCTCATTTTTTCCCTCGTCTGCCCTTTCCCCCGTATCTCTCCTCCCTCCAGTATAACTCCTCTCGCCCCAGGGAGGAGTGGGAGATGTGGCACCCGACGCTGATCGCAGAGGCTCTGTTCGCCATCGCCAACATCTTCAGCTCGCTCAGACTCATCTCTCTCTTCACCGCAAACTCCCACCTGGGGCCGCTGCAGATCTCACTGGGGAGGATGCTGCTGGACATCCTCAAGTTTCTCTTCATTTACTGTCTGGTAAAAACTTTTGTATTTGTATATCACACGTGACACCGGTCACAAGCGAAACACAGTGATAATACTCGTTTTTTGTTTTTATTGTGAAGGTCCTGCTGGCGTTTGCTAACGGTCTGAACCAGCTCTATTTCTACTACGAGACCAAGGCGTCAGAAGAACCCAGCAACTGTAAGGGCATCCGCTGTGAGAGGCAGAACAACGCCTTCTCAACGTGAGTAACCTCCGTCACACTAACCATAGTCCATGTGTGTGTGTGTGTGTGTGTGTGTGTGTGTGTTAATTCTATTATCGTTTTTCCATCATGGTCATCAGACGGTAAAGCTGAATTTTGGGTTAAAGAGTTTTTTCCCTTTGTTTTTGGAGACGTCACGTCGGTCTCAAGTTAGTGCGCTCATCCGGGAGTCTCGTTTCCATCATCGAGATTAAAAACCTGCGTCTACAACAGAGTTATTTGACCCGCGAGTGAATGATGATTGTTTCCGTTCCCTTCGCTGATAAAAGCCAGATATAAATAGTTTTTTTTGACCAGTGGAAAAGGAGCTTTAATGATGTTCTGACGATACTGTCCACAGTGCTGGGTGGGGCATCTGCAAGTACGCGAATCAATGTACTGATCCGATACCAAGTCTTTAAAGTATATTAATATTAACTTTTATTCATAGAGCGCTATTTGTATCCAGCTAGATAATGAAATACGTCTTATTTATTTTCTGTATGTATTTCTCAGTATTTACTTTTAATATATATACAACAATTACAGATGTAAACAAATATAAATACGCTGGTATGTGATTGGAACTCCAGGTATCAGAATCATCATCGAGTAGTAAACATGGTATCAGACCGTTTCTAGTTGAAATACTGACTCTGTATTTTATTAAACGCATCACATCCTGTCCAAATATAGTGTGTGTGTGTGTGTGTGTGTGAGAGAGAGAGTGTGTAGCCGCTGCACTGACTCTGCTCTTTAGCTCCGCTGCAGCAGATAATGAAATGGAAACGACTCCTTGTGTCGAGTAGAATCTCCGACTCGTTCAGACGACGTCAAGAATATTAATGAGATTTTTTTTTCTTCCTCGTGTGGAGTCGGCAGGTTTTTAAAACCTGGAAGCGAAAACAGGGTCGAGCTCATTGAGAGGCCGAGTCTGAAATATGGCTCATGTGTCAGCACAGACACACACACACACAGACACACACACACACACACACACACACTCTGCTGAGGGAGGCAAGGTGAAAGCGAAGCCGAGTCATTGGGCTGAATAATGATGAGGCAGTGGTTTGTTTTAGTGATCGATTCCATCACAGTGAAGAGCTGAGAACAATGAAAAGACTGAGAGGAGAAAATATCACTTGAACTTTAAACCGTCTCGTTGATCCACAGTGAAAAGTATGTGTGTATAATATTCATGGAGGTTTAATGTTTTCAGATTGTCCGTCCCGTTCTTGTGAACAAGATATCTCAAGAACAGCTTGAGGGAGTTTCTTTAAATCTGACACAGACGTTCACTTGGACTCAACGATGGACTGATGGGAGTTCGACGCTCAAAGGTCACAGTGACCTCACGACCACAGGGCCGTAATTCTAGTTTCATCAAGATCCATCAATGCCTCTGTGGGAAACCAGTGAAAATATGTTAAACGAAGAGATAAAAGAAATTCATAGGTCCACCCCCCGAATATAATGAGCTCTTTCTTGACCCATGTCTCATCCTTCCACCAAGTTCTGTGTAGATCTGTTGAGAAGAAGAAGAGAGTTCTGAGCCTTGAAGTCTTTTCTCTGGTGAAAGTGAAACCAGCGGAATGTAGAGTTCATCCGTCGGCCACAGACGCTGTGAGACTGAACTGATTTTCTCTGGTTCTGCAGCGGAGACGTCGACAGAAGTTTCTCTCGTCAGAAACTCTTGTGGGTTAAACTGTTGGAGCCAAACGCTTTAACTTTAACAAAAAAGAATATGTGATTTTGTGATATGCCGCAACTACTATGGTTTCAAAAATGTTTCAGATATTGTAAGTACACGAGTCACCAGAATAGAAAACATGGGATCAGATGTTTTTAGACATTTAAATGAAGACTTGTTAGATTTTCTCTCTTTAAAAATCAATAAATCACGTCCTCGGATACAAAAACACGATAAGGAGTAGAGGACGTTTTTCTCGTCTCCACATGAGCTCCGACATGTTGCCGGTGGATCAGCGTCTGCAGGAAGAAAATCAGCCTCATGCTGAAACAAAACGAGCCAGCAGGTCGCCGCAGTGACTGCTGACATGGTGCATTATGCAAACAGAGCGATCGCAGGCCCGTGGGCGACGCAGCCGTGCAGCAACATTCATGAATCTACAATGCATGGATTATTCCCTCTGTGTGTGTGTGTGTGTGTGTGTGTGTGTGTGTGTGTGTGTGTGTCACTCTTATTCACACTTATTTACATTTATGAGTTATGATTTCACAGGATCATTTCCTGTTTCCTGCTCAGGTGTCTCGTCCCTTCTCTTCTCACTCATCTGTACTTCACACACTGTTCACATCACTGTTAATGTGTTACATCATTTAACACCACGCTGCCTGCTGAGTGTGTGTGTGTGTGTGTGTGTGTGTCTTCCTCGCACTGCCTTTTTGTGTTTGTCTCTCTCTCTCTCCCCCTCTCTACCTTCCTCCCTCCCTCCCCTAACATCTTCCTGATTCAACCGGACAGGATGTGATGCTGCAGGCATCCTCTCCAAACTTGTATCTATTCAACCTGCTTCTGTGGACGCAGGAACGAAAACGTTAAAATAAATAAATCATTGAATCATGATCTAAACGAAGAAATATTGGAAAAACAAAAAAAAGGGAAAAGACTGTGTGACACGCTTAGAAGAAAGAGAGAGGCAAGGAAAAGAGCGGAGAGAAAAGGAAAGGTAACAAGGTAAAAATAGAGAAAAGGAAAGGAGGAGGGCAAGCTGGGAGAGGGTAGGAGATGAGAGAGAGACAAGACAAGAGAAAACAAGAAAAAAGAAGTAGAAGAAGATGATGAAATATAAGAAGAGGAGGAGAGAAAAGAGAGGTGGAAACGATAGAGGAGGTGGGACAGCTAAAAAGGAGAGAAGGCAACTGGAGGAAACAAGAAGACGAATGACAACAGAAGAGAGACGGGAGTGGACGAGATAGAAGATCAGACGCGAGTGTTGAGCGGAGATAAGAGAAGAGGAGAAGAAGAAGAGACGACTGGAAGATGAGAATAATGAATTAACGAATGGAAAAGATAATTAAAGGTTAAAGAGAGAGAGAGAGAGATTTATCATTTTGTTTAGTTTTCTTTGTCCAACTTCCTTTGTCTCCTCCCCCCCTCGTTCTCGTTTCATAACCCAGCTGCTTCATTCATCAACCCCTCCCTCCCTCCCTCCCTCCCTCCATCCATTCCTCCGTTCCTCATTCATTCCTTTGCACAACACGCGAACGCACTCATATAGACACACTTCATCTCCTCACACACACATGCGCATTAACGGAGGCGCCGCAGCATCAGTCACATGCATTCAATTAAGACGCGCACACACACACACACACACACACACACACTGCAATGAGAATCATTCCCGGGGCGTTGAATATTTTATGCGGCACAAATATAAAACCCTGCAGACAAAACGTGTCTTCTCCTTCACCGCCAATTGTTGCTTCATCAAAAATTCAGTAACCGCCGCTGTAACCACGACAAACCGACGCCCGGAGACGGACGGACGGACGGACGGGTGGTGGAGGGACGTAAACAGAGGGATGAAGTGACGGGCTACATCTTTGTCCGTACTGACCACAGACTGTTTTTAAAAATGGATGCAGAAAACGAAGCCAGTGTGGAAGTGACCGTAACCTGTATTCTCAGGAATGACCAACAGAGGGCGACTTCACAGGTTGTGCATTGAGAACATTGAGTTTATGTCTCTAGTTTCTAGTTTCAAGTCTTCTTCAATACAGCTGATGCTCATTTTTTAAATCTGTGACACTTGAGTAGTTTGAGTGAAAAAAGTATTTTTAAATATCTGTGCAGCGGCTTCAGCTCGGTCTGACGCCTCCTGAGGGTTTTTAAACTCCGGGTCTATTTTTACCCAGAAGAATCTGAGCGTAGATATTTCATCCGTTCCACCTGACGCTCGCTGGACTGAAAGCGTTTGCAGCTGATTCTCTGGACGGAGTTTTGGTGAAGCTGTTATCTTCCACTCTGAGGATTTTTCAGGGAACCGTTTGATGATGTTATTGTAAGAGCTTGAAGACGGAATCATCAGAGGACAGTTTGTTCTGTTCAGTTTTTCAGAGCGTGATTGAACGTTCACCTGCTTTTGAACACGTTTCCTGTGTCTCATCCAGAGAGAGTTCGATTCACAGTTCATCCTTCGCTTCATTTCCAGATGTGTCTCCGAGTTTACAAATAAAGTTTTCTCCCGTCTCCTCCTGCTCTGTGTCTCCTCAGGTTATTCGAGACGCTGCAGTCGCTCTTCTGGTCGATATTCGGCCTCTTGAACTTGTACGTCACCAACGTGAAAGCCCGGCACGAGTTCACCGAGTTCGTCGGGGCGACCATGTTCGGGACGTACAACGTCATCTCGCTGGTGGTTCTGCTCAACATGCTGATCGCCATGATGAACAACTCGTACCAGCTCATCGCCGTGAGTCGCCACAGTGCAATCTAAAGAAATCTTCCACAGCTCCATGTTGTCGGACTGTTTGTGAGTTTCCGTGTCCCCCTCGCCGCCCCCCCAGGACCACGCTGACATCGAGTGGAAGTTTGCTCGCACTAAGCTGTGGATGAGCTACTTCGACGAGGGCGGAACGCTGCCGCCGCCGTTCAACATCGTCCCGAGCCCCAAGTCCATCTGGTACCTGCTGATGTGGCTCCACAACAAGCTGTGCGGCCGAGGCCAGCCGCCCGGGGAGGAGTCGCACAAATGTGAAAACCTCCGAGAGTTCACGGTGAGAGCGACGCATCCACTACCTACGTTTTTTACACTTTTGTGTGGTTTGTTGGTGTTTTCAACATTTATAGCTGCGACAGTTATTCTTTAAAATGATTCTCTGCAGTCTGTAGCTCTCAGTCGGTCAGGTCAGGAGACTGCCACTAGGGGCCGCCAAAGTAAGAACATTTCCAAACGCACAAATGAGACGAGAGTTCACGAGGTTTTCTACACCAGGGACAGTTTATTTGTTTTGGCTCAGAATCATTAGATGATAACTGAAGAAGGTCAATGAGAAGATATTTTGGAGATAAAGTTTTCTGCTTGTTTGTTTTTCAGATTTTCACCTTTTCAGGTTCACATGTTGACAGATCAAAGATGAGTAAATTTTTTTTACAAACCAAATGTGTCTGTGGCATCTTACTTTA